AATTCCTTGGTGTGGTCAAAATTACTTCACGCTTTAAAACCTTCAGAAAGGAGTTGCGATTAGGGTGGGAACATTCTAGATTAGATGCACACATACACACACTGATCAGATCTTCTTCTTATCTACTTCTCCAAAAGGGTGACATCACTGTCTGAGAGAGAAATGTGGTGCACAAACACTGTCTGAGAATGCTCACTCCCTTGCCATCCCAAACACTTGCCTTTGGAAGTGTGTGTGGGCACTTTGGAGAGTGAGCGAGAGACTGACTGGCAGAGAAAGATGGCTTTCTGTCTGTCTGACGTACTAGAATCATCAAGCTGTGAATTTGTTTCAGAAATGCCATGGGTGATTCATTGTAATCTTCAAAACTACTTCATGTAGATAACATTTCCTGTATTTACACTACACTGCTGAAGAAAAAAAAAAAAAAACAGATTAAAGTAGACAATTGTGGAGAGCAATAACAAGCTAGCTTTGAAAGCATGTGATCCCACCCTCCCTTCAGAGCGTCTCCAAAACACAGGAACACGCACAGCTTGAGAAGAGTCACGAGAGATGGCATTAAAGTACCTCACGTCTCAAAGGATATAACATTACATTAATAATGCAAGTAAGAGCACTGATTTCTGTAGATTAATTTCGGCATTGATAGCAGTGCCATAGACATGCGTGAATATACAAGTGTGTGGATGTGAACCACTAAGTAGAATGTCACGGGTTGCTATCTCTTAATTATAGCAGTTATGACGTGAACACAGCATAAGCTCATTGTTTTGGTTCAGGAGGAACTGTAAAAGGTGTCTGCTGTTTGTTTTTGGCACTCTGTCAACAACTCTTGGCATAGGCTCATGGAATACGGTGATGACGTGATGTCTGCGCGAGCAGGGTGCGAGGAGGTATGCAAATACTGTACATAGGTTGACAGGCAGGTAGTACATCCTTCTGTGGAAGTCTTAGGACCCCAAAAAATTCTTCCAATCATTGTATTTGGCCCGAAGGCAATGATTGGATCAATTTTTTTTGGTCCAGAGAGCCTTCCACAGAAGATATATGTAATTTATATATATATATATATTTAGGCCATATCTACTATTGATGGATCAGGATGTGAAGAGAGTTTTCACCAGTATAACAAAAAGTGTTTTTGAAAAACACCACCTTTAAGGTGGTCAACATGGTTTTAGGAATAATTGTAAGGGTAAAACAAAAACTTAAAAGTAGTTTGGCAATTTACACTTTAGGCCCATCAAGCGTTGAAAATTGTGGCTTTAAATTGCTTTAATTATTAATTGTATACATTTTTAAATACTTCCAGGCATCTCTATAAGTTCTGGCCTCAAAATTACGTACATGCCATGATAAAGAGATTTCATTAAAAGAAATATTATTTAAAATATATTTTGTTTATATGTATATATGACATATTTAAAGGATATTTCCAGTATTTAACACCTTGAGTCTATTTTGAATGAAATAGAGTGGTGGACTTAGAAATTGTCTCGATTTTTTGGCTATTTTAGAATCGCCTGTGACAGCTTTAGACTGGGTGTCTATGGGCATGCACAAACATGTCCTTAAAACAACCCTTAACGTTGATTTTCGAAACTGAGTGGTTGCTGGTGTTCGTTCTGATTTGAAATAAGTCACAAGTCTTTATTTTTGTAATTGTCACTGCCATTGTGAAAAAGCGACTGATATATTATAAAAAAGAAATTCTAGCCTTTCGTGTTCCACAGATGAAACGGGAGGAATTTCAGCATGGGCTGACGTGACCACTTGTTGTTTTCTCTCATCCATCCGCAGTGTATTCCTCTGTTGTGTCAATTTGTTCAAGTCATGACAGTCTTGAGAAGGTCACTCATCTAATGACGTGCGAGGGATATCTTTTGAATATTAATCAGTTTCTGTCCGTCCAAGGGGATGAGTTCATTTTCTCTTTCTGTCGCTCCTTCGCATTCTCCCCCACCCCCCCTCTCATCTGTGGAATATTAGATCCGCCTGTACACTGTACACAGCCACCGGTGGCCAGATGTTCAATTAGCCTGTATTTCTGTTCAGAGCTTTGATGCTCCCCGCGCTGCTCTCCGGCCTCAGCGCTTTGTTCTCAAATCAGCCTAAGGCTAATTTCACCTCCCGCTATGAAGACGACACACAACCTAGCACCTCACACACCACACCGCTATTTGTGCACGCTTGTTTATGTACATCCATGCATTGAATGAAGGTGACTCCCCAAATGACAAATATGGAAAAGCAAGTCCTTGGGTTGCACTCTCTTTTCTGTTTGTTGCTTCATCTTTCATGTATTGTGTGCCCCAGGCCTGGTTATAGGGTGAAGCAGGAAGGAAATAAACAACTAAAGGGAAAGTGGGATTGTTTTCATGGATCCCTTTATTCAAAGAGCCACTCTTGAGCTTTTGTGTTTGGATGGAGGCTTGATTCTGTTGTCTTCCCTCTTGGCGGTTGTCTATCCGCAAATATGGAAAAGTCCCAATGTTCGACATACGGCTGGTGCACGCTGATGTTTCCAGCTTTGATTTGTTGCTGATTTCCTGTGGCTTCCGTCCACCTGTCCCCGGCAGTCTCTTCATCTGTGAGAGTTCTCCACCTGCCCACAGCGACTGTGGGGTTAAGCTCTCTCTTTCTGTCCCAACTCTCAGCGCAGGTTTTATTAGTCAGTGAGCTGTGTAGTGTTTGCTTATGTTTGTGTACGTCTGTGCACAAGTGGTAGCCGGTGCTTTCCAGAAGTGGGGAATCGCAGATGTCACTTATGAATGGCAATGTGTACTTTGTGTATTTGATGTCTGTAATATATAAATATTAGAGCTGTCAGTTAAACACGTTGTTAACGCCGTTAACGCAATTCATTTTTTATCGCGAGATTAATGGTCTTTTTGGCCTAGCAAACTTTGTAGTTTTTTTTTACATGCTTTTGCAACAGGACTGCGCTATGAAACCTATTAATTTCAATGGCTAAACCGCACACCGCGGTCAAATTTCAAAACAACTTTTGCCGCTGTGACGATTACCAGGTCCAGCGCGCCCAATGGAAACTTTTTGGCATCCAAAAAGTTTTGAAAACTGGTAGAGTGCCGCACATTCCGCATCCTGTCTGAAAACACCGGATCTAGCTGGACCGGAAACACACCTGTTGCGAGCCGGCCAAACAGTAGGTTAACGTTACGTTTTGAATGGATGACGCCAAAATGGATGCCAATAAGATTCTGAATAGAATGTGTACTTTTAAAAACTTACCAAATGATTTTTTTTTGACATTGTGAACTGAGCTATCATTGATGGCCAAGCACACACACACACACACACACACAGCTGATGCGAATTCTCCGCCCCTCAGTATTTCTTTCACCCTTTTATTGATACATTGTGTGAGAGATTATTTGCTCCAAGTGAGAATGTTTTAGTCTGAAATTGAACACAGTTTTGTCAACGTTGTTTTCAATAAAAAACATTTGCACAAAGCAAGCCGATCCACTTTTTCTTGTTGATATGAGCGTTAAAATTAGAAAAAATAATGCGACAAAAAGACAGGTCCCACTTTATATTAAGTGGCTTTAAGTACTATGTACTTACATCTAAAAATAGGTACAATGTACTTATTGTGCTCATGTTGTATAGTAAATCACTTTTGCTGCTATTGAGGAGTGATACAGGTAAGGTTAGGGACAGGTGTGGTGGTATGGGTAGGTTTAAGGGTGGGTTTAAGTGTAAGGGATGGGTCAGCTGTGTAATTACAGATGTAATTACATAAATTAATTACAGCTGTAATTGCATGCTGGTATTTTTAAAATATAATTAAAGGATTACAATTAATATTGTTTTCATAAAGGAATCCAGCTTGTCCCATAGATTTAACCTTGCGCACAAGCGGATCCGTTTGCTCTCTGGAGACGCGTTCAGTCTGCAAATTCCGACATGAAGCGAATCCAACATGGCGCGAGCACAACTGGCTTTTAAAGGGAATGGAAAATATAGTTGGTGATAGTTTTTTTGTACACTACACCCAAAACACACCCATTACTCATTAAAAGAATAGAGACAACCCTTTTAGACCATGTTCCGAGCAGGCCGACCATTTTCCCGTCGTTAAACTAACAAAAGTGGATTCGGACACAACCTAAGTGCACTCGCTTTAGACCATGTGCCTAAATTGCTAAAATATGGCCCATAATGCTATTCCATCCACCCATGTGTCTCTCTCATTTTCCTTCCACACATCTCACATGTACAAACATCTACTTAAATTATAATGCCAGTCTAAGCCTCTTTTTCTAGCACCAGCAATTCCATGCAAGATATAAAGTAGACGTGAAGTTATAAACTTGCAGTGTAACAATGTTGTCAATGCGGTAGTAAAGGGTAGAGATAATCATATTTACCAGACTGTGCTTCTTAATTTTCATGTGTAAGAGTGTATTCCCTCTATTTGTAAAAATGAAGAAAGAAAATGCTACCTAACTTCAAATTCAAAAAGGAGGAAAAACACATCCTCACTCATATATATATATATATATAAAACTCACAAAATCAAAATGAATGTTGACTTGATATACAATATACAATTTTGATAATAATAATTATAGCTAATGATAAATTCTGAAATTATCAGAGTGTAGCTGTTAATTTTGCTCAAACAACAATGCTTAGATGACATTCACTTGTGCCTTGCACACACACACACACACAATAATTTGTGAAAAAAATAATAAGCTATGCCTATCTCGAGTTTGTTAAAGCCATTACATATAAAATTAATTAAAAATCCCTCCAATTAAAATTAAAAACTGCAAATTGATTTTGAAAGAAGAGCAACACATTCAGTAAAAGTGTGTATTTCCTGTAGTTGTGTGCATTTTGTGGGTAATATTCAGCTGAGGTCGGTCACTATGGCAGCAGCGACAGGGTTCTGCCCACCGACTAGACGACCTTCCCAGTGCACCAACACAAAACACTAATTAAGACACACAGAAAACAGAACCTACCATTGACACATTCAAACACATCGCAACACCTCCCAGGTGTTCCGTCACCGCGGGACACAACCTGAGGTGAAGTCCCTGCTGAGCACTGTGGGAAGGTGCAGAGGCCAGGCAAACACTCACATCTGAGTAGAACAGAGAGAGAGAGAGAGAGAGAGAGAGAGAGAGAGAGAGAGAGAGAGAGAGAGTCATGCCTAATACATAACAACAAAACAGTCTCTCCTGACACTCCGATGTTATTAACTTTCAGTGCTGAAATAATCCAATTTTAACACTTATAGGGAACATGTTTTAGTTTTTTTGTAATTGTTTTGGTCTAATCTGGATTATAAGCATGAGACAGGTACATCGCAACATCTTACCTAAATTAGTCTGACATGTTTACCAGTCTAACCTGGATTGTGACAGATGGGACTGTGCAGATCAGGTCTAACGGTGTAACCTGGATTATAAACATGGAACATTTTACCTGTAATCTGAGGATTGTAACATCTAATCAGGATTGTGAGCATGACACAAATCTAACGGCTTAACTTGGATTGTGTGAGTGAGACAGGTGCAAGTCTAACTGGGTTTGTGAGAGGGAGACAGGTGTAACTTCTAATCAGGATTGTGAGCATGAGACAGATGAAATGGTCTAAATGCGATTGTGAATGTGAGACAGGTGTAATGTGTAAAGTATTCTTGGTGTTACAATCTAACTTGGATTGTAAGCATGAGACGGGTGTAATGGGCTAACTGGGACTGTGGGAGTGAGACAGGTTTGACGTATAACCTGTATTGTGGGTGTGGAACAGATTAAACAGTTTAACTTGGATTGTGAGAGTAAGACAGGTGTAACATCTAATCAGGATTGTGACTAGGGCTGGGTATCGAGAATCGAGTATCGATTGGAACCGAGACTTACTTTTCGTTTTTCCCGGAATCGTTCAAAAGTTAAAATTTCGATTCCTAGTTTCGATATTCACAGTCCACCGAGCGGAAGAAGAAACCGCTGAACAACACCAACGAAGAAGCGTCTACCGGAAGTATTGGCATAACCACGCGAGTCGAACATGAGTACCTTACGTCGGAGATCCAAAGTGTGGCTTCACTTTTCTAAAAATAACGAAATCTCGGCAAAATGCAAAATTTGTGACAAAAGGAGTATTTTTACAGAAGGAGTATTTCCTTCAGAAAGGCAGTTGGTTAGCAAGGTTAGCTAAACTTTTTTGACCCTGCCTCTTAAAAGAATCGGAATCGAGAATCGTTAGGAACCGGAATCGAAACAAGGAATCGCAATTGGAATCAGAATCGTTCAAATTCAAACGATACCCAACCCTAATTGTGAGCATGAGACAGATGAAATGGTCTAACTAAGATTGTGAATGTGAGACAGGTTTAATGTCTAACCTGGATTATGGGCATGAGAGTAGGTGTTACAGTCTAAGGACCGGTTCACATATCGCGTCTTTTGCGCGCTCAAGTTCGTTATTTCAAATGTAGGCGCGCGGTATGCGCGCTCATAATGGAAGCGATGCGGTCGCGGTGCGACGCGCTCGTTTTTTACATGCGCGTCCGCGCCGCGTCGAAATAAAAACATCTCAACTTTTTAGAATATCGCAAGCGCACCATACGCACACAAGATAGGTCATGTGACAAGAACCAACTGAAGCGCAACCGCCCTGGCGCTTTGGAAAATGGAGAATGCCGCGCGCCCAGCGTTTTCTACGCGTTTTTAGGCGCTATATGTGAATCCGGCCTAACTTAGATTGTAAGCATGAGACAGGTGTAACGGCTAATCAGGATCATGAACATGAGACGGGTGTTACGGCCTAACTGGGACTGTGAGAGTAAGACGGGTGTAACATCTAATCAGGATTGTGAGCATGAGACAGATGAAATGTCTAACTGGGATTGTGAATGTGAGACAGGTGTAATGAGAAAGGTGTAACTTGGATTGTATGCATGAGACGGGTGTAACATCTATTCTGGATTGTGAGCACAAGACAGATGTAACCTCTAACTTGAATTGTCAGTGTGAGACTAACCTACATATCGAACACCAGACAGATGTAACAGTCTAACCTGGATAGTGAGTGGGACATATAACAAAAAAAACACCTAAAGTGCAAATGTGAGACAGACGTAAGGCCAAAGCTGAATTGAGTATGAGACATGCCTCGACTGTGAGCGTGAGACAGGTGTAACGTCTAACCTGGTAGGAAGGGTGCAGCAGCCGTCTGCTGTCAGTCTGACCTGAGTCTCATAGCTGTCTGCTGGACACAGGACAGGCTTCACTGGTGGACACTCTACTGTGCTGCAGTCTACACTGAACACTGAACACAAAACAAGAGATAAAACATTTATCACAGCTCATCAAACCTCTAAATAACACACCTCATCAAACTCTCATCCGAGCAAATGATTTACCTGCTATAATCTCGCCATAGACTTCAACACATACTGTCTACAGTGCAGTAAACAGCGCAGTTCAGAGGAGTCGTCATATAACGACGGTTTACAAACAATGGTGATAAACATAAGAGCACTTGCTGCAGGTTAACTCTTTCCCCGCCAGCGTTTTAAAAAAAAGTTGCCAGCCACCGCCAGGGTTTTTGACGATTTTCGCTAAATTTGAATGCCCTGCTGAATATTTTCTTCCATGAATATATGAAGATGATATATATAAAAATAAAGATCTGAGCCTCTGCTTTCAGGCAAAAAAAACGTTTTTATTTTATCTTCATCTGTTCTTTTTTTATTGCCTCTTGAACAGAGGTAGGTTTTGTCAAAAACACAACATTTTGGACAAAAAACTGAGAAAAAGGTATTTTTATCAAACAAGTGCATTTAAAAGCAGAATACATTCAGATGTTGTTTCCTTCATATATAAAACTTTCCAAAATAAATTAAAAACATAAAATAAATGTAAAATATATCAAATTTCCCAGGATGTAAGGGAAATGTAACTTTTGCAATAAAACTTCTGCCTCTGCCTCTCTGTGTTCTACCTGTGAATAATGAATAATTGGAATTACAATAAACAGGCCTAGACACACACACACACACACACACACACACACACACACACACACACACACAAATACATATTACAATGTGGTAAATGTGCACAAAGAGAGAAATAATTTGACAATTACACCTTCATATTTAGACAGCCACACATAAATGCCTGCACACACACATACATATCATAGTGTCATAATATTATACGATCTATCTGCGGCACGTCCATGGCTAGAACTTTCTGTGACAACATGTGCATCTCTCTCACTGACTACTTCGTCCCGATCAGATTCAGAATTATCAAATAAAGAGTGATCGGACTCCGGGTCCATTAACCTCCAGTACTTCAGCCATATACCTCTGCATTGTCTGTCTGATACATTCTCACTACTCCACTGTTTGAGACGATTGCAACCTTTTTCTCTGATCAAAGAGTTGCGCACTCATTCAGGACATGCGCGCGGGTCTTCCTTACCGTATACCACCTAAAACACGGATACCCGGAAAATTCCGTGTTTGGCGCAGATGCGTTTTTTCATTAAACCCGGAAAATTCCGTGTTTGGCGGGGAAAGAGTTAACAGAAGAAGGCTATTATTACATGTTGATGACCATTAAGATAAAACGGTAACACTTTACAATAAGGTTCATTAGTTAACATTAGTTAACATGTACAATATGTGAACAATACTTCTTCAGCATTTATTAATCTTAGTTAATATTAATTCCAACATTTACTAATACGTTATTAAAATCAAAGGTTGTATTAGTTAACGGACTGTGAACTAACATGAACGCACAATGAACAGCTGTATTTGTATTAACTAACATTAACAAAGATTAATAAACACTGTAACTAATGCATTGCTCATCGTTAGTTCATGTTAGTTAATGCATTTACTAATGTTAACTAATGAACCTTACTGTAAAGTGTTACCGATAAAACATATGTATTAAAGGGATAGATCACACCCAAATTAAAATGTTGTTGCTTAAATGTTACTTACTCACCCCTAAGTTATTCCAAACCTGTATTTTTTGAGTTTTTTTTTCTTCTTTTTTTGCTGAGCACAAAATAATAGATTTTAAAGATTTTTGGTAACCAAACAGTTGACTGCACCCATTGACTTCCATAGTAGGGGGGAAAAAATACGATGGAAGTCAATGGGTGCAGTCAACTGTTTTTGGTTACCAACAATCTTTAAAATATTTTCTTTTGCCTTCAACAGAAGAAAGAAACACATACAGGTTTGAAACAACATGAGGGTGAGTAAATAATGAAAAAAAAAAAAGTTTAAGTGCACATATTAAAATAACCCAAATACATAAGTGTCCTATCTACCGAACTGCCCCTTGAACAGAAACACTCATATATTTTCAACAGCCCATGACTTTAGCGTGTCTCAAAAGAAAATCCCTCTCTTTTATGTATTGGTAAAGTTATTTTTTGAAACCAAGTGGCTATCTCTGCTCAAGGCTGCCATATTGCAGCAAAATATAGCATGACAGAAGGAGCTATATTAAAATTAAGGTACTATGACAGCATCTTGAGATAACCTGCAAAGAATTCAAATCCATCACTATCAGGTTCCTGGTGTTGATCCCCAAGACTACACAACAATCCATCTATTACTCTAGCAGGAAAAGAATTTGCTGTTGCAAGAAAAGTTGACACGAAGTGTTTTTTTTTAAGTATTAGAAATACCATTGTAGAGGTCATATCCTCACCCTCATGTCATTCCAAATAGGCATATTGTTCATTTTTCTCTTGGTAGAATCTTTACACAGTTCCTGCCAGACAATGACAGTGATCCAAAATGGACATTTCCATTTTTTTGGTTGAAACATTCAATTAAACCATGCTAGTGGAGACCGGTTTGTACTGGTTTGGTTGATGTTCACCGGCAAATCACATGGTGTGAAAATGGAATCAAGGAAGTCACAACACTTAACTAAATATCGGATTTCTTTACCTGGTTTGCATTCGTAGAGATCACAGCACTCGCCGGGTTTGCCGGAGCTCTTGGATACCAGGATGTTGAGGTGCCCGGGTTGGCACACTTTCCTAAGACACCCGGCTGGGCTGCACACACAGCGGCTGGGCAGGGGGCAACATTCACCAGGTGGAGCGTAGCCCTCGATTAATATGGAGTCCTCAGGGCAGCGTGGAGAAAACTGCACCTCACACCTCGCCTTAGAACAATCTGGTCTTTCCTCTACGGAGAAAAAGAGCACAACTTTTGTCATTTATGATGTTCAGCTATGTTTAATAGTGATTCTTTTCTTGTGAATAAAAACTGGAAAGTAAATAAAACAGAGTAACTCACCAGTAACCTTATTAGAAACTGCGACATGTTGTAAATTGAATTGTAAGAGAGATTGTTAGACTCTCACAGATGTAAGTGACAAACACGATTCAAATCAATAACCAAAACAAGCTATTAAAGAAAACCATATGTCAGGACTCATACCACATATTTTTTAATTCAAAACTCCATGTGGCGATACATATGTGGAGTATTCCTTGCATTAAGCATCCAATATGAAAATACGAGGTATTTGTCTTCATGTTTTTTTTGTGACAGGTACTGTTTTACCAAGAGACAGACTCGTCATAAATATGAGCTGTGACACAGTGACATGCGATTTGTCACTGTCGCACAGTGACAACTTTAATTCACAAAAGTTGAATTGCCATATATGCATGTATGTAGACGTTGGTAAAATTTTTGTTATTAGAGGTAGTTAAAAAATAAGTCTCCTTTGATCAAAAATACAGTAAAAACAGTCAATTAACAGTGTACAAAATAATTTCTTTTTGTTTTAATATATTTTAGAATGTAATTTATTCCTGAATTTTCCATAACATTACATCAGTGTCACATGATCCTTCAGAAATTATTCTAATAAGCTGATTTGCTCCTCAAGAAACATTTCTAATTATTATTAATGTTGAAAATTAGGGCTGTCAAACGATTAATCGCATCCAAAATAAAAGTTTGTGTTTACATAATATATGTGGGTGCACTGTGTATAATTATTTTATATATACAAACACACACACACACACATGCTTGTATATATTTCAGAAATATTTTCATGTATATACTGTACATAGATTTATATATAATTTATATTCTAAATATTTTTATATTATATTTAAATTATATTATAAATATTTTATATATAAATAATATTTTTTCTTAAATATACACGCATGCGTGTGTATTTATATATGTACGAAATAATTATACACAGAGCACCCACAAATATTATGTAAACACAAACTTTTATTTTGGATGCGATTAATCGCGATTAATCGTTTGACGGCTCTATTGAAAATATATTATTTTTGAAAAATATTTTTTGTGGAAAAACTGTGATAAATGTTTCATGATTCCTTTAAGTAGAAAAAGAACAGCATTTATTTGCAATAGTCTTTAAATGTCACTTTTGATTAATTTAATAGATTATTGCTGAATAAAAGTGTTAAATAAAGTGTGTGTCATAAAAATATATATATATACCCTTATATACATTGTATTTTCTCAGTTTCTTTCTAGTAACAAAAGTCTAGTGACTGACATTTCACTACCTTGAGCAGGCAGAACGATGAACAGCAGATTCCCTCCCTTTTTCTGAACTAAATATTGACCATGCATGTCAAAGTCCAGCATTTTATGAACACACTCAATTTGACCTTCCTTCATTCAAGGCATGATTGCTTTTATTCATTCTTTACAAGGGAACAACAAGATAACAAAGGAGAAAGGCAAGAGAAATTGAAAAGGTGCATGGGAGAGACATAAAAAGAACCGCAGAAAGGAAAACTCATGCTGATGTGAATGTGAATGAATGGCAAATGTCAGCAGGAGAGAAACGGCTGACATGCTGTAATGCTCCTGTTGCTTGTGTTCGGTCTGATAACACTTGGCAGAGGGTTGTGTAATAACACTAAACGCAGAACTACATGTAAAAACACAGGCGGCAGTATTAATAGAGCCAGGGCATCAGGGTGTGTAATTTGAGTAGACTGATCTGGGCCATATTGTGGTTTTTCAATCAATATACTGTATGCAGTTTTAAAGGGAGAGTTCACGCTAATTTACTCACCCTGGTGGTGTTCTTTCTTTTATGGGCCGCAAAAGAATAAAAAAAAAGGAATTTTCCACTTATGCTCATCCCTATAAACGCATCACAGAATGATCCCATGCGTCATGTGGCGTATATTCCAAGCGTTCTGGGGGAATACAATAGAAATCCCCCAAAAAGTATCCATGTACTTTTCTTCATTTAATTAAATATCCCCAGACCGGAACTTGACAGATTTGAACGCGATAACTTCTTGTTATGACGAACACAACGATATATTCATCTAAGAGAAGGCGGTACATGGGTTGTATTTCATGTTGCGTTTTTGTTTAGGGCTGTGAAACGATTAATTGCGATTAATCGCATCCAAAATAAAAGTTTGTGCTTACATAATTTATGTGTATGTAGAGTGCATAATTATTTTGTATATATAAATACGCACATATGCATGTATATATTTAAGAAAAATGTGTTATTAATATATCAAATATTTATTAGGGCTGTCAAACGATTAATCGCAATTAATCGCATTCAAAATAAAAGTTTGTGTTTACATAATATATGTGGGTGCACTGTGTATAATTATTTTATATATATTAATACACACACATGCTTGTCTATATTTAAGAAATATTTTCATGTATATGCTGTATATATATATATATATATATATATATATATATATATATATATATATATAATTATATAATTACATATAAATTAAAATTAAATTACATATAAATAATATTTTTTTTGCATGTGTGTGTATTTATATATATACAAAATAATTATACAGTGCACCCACATATATTATGTAAACACAAACTTTTATTTTGGATGCGATTAATCGTGATTAATTGTTTGACAGCCCTAATATTTATATATAATATTAATTTTGTATAAATATACTGTATATAAAGTATATACATACAAATATTTCTTAAATGTATACATGCATGTGTATTTATATGTACAAAATAATTACACGCACTACACACACATATATTATGTAAACACAAACTTTTATTTTGGATGCGATTAATCACGATTAATCATTTCACCGACCTATTTTTGTTTGATTTCTCATAACTTGTGTGTTTTTTTTCTGGGCGAGACGGAGTGAACAGCGACACTAATAGAGCTTCATGAACAGAGAACACCAAAGGCCAAGGTCAAGAAATTGGTTAAATAATACTGTACATTCAATTCTGGTTTGTTTTTCACCAAACCCTATCGCATATCCCCAGCACACATGGAATACACGGCACGTGTCGCACTCGCATGGGATAATTCTGTGGTTCTGTGAGTCATACTCAAGAAAAAGATCCATTTCGAAGCTTGAAATGTCCAGTCTGCACAGAATAGAAAAGAAAAAAGTCTTCAAAATGTCTCCTTTTATGTTCCACGGAAGAAAGAAAGTCACATAATTGGAACAACATAAGGATACATAAATGATAATGATTCATATTTTCAAGTGAACTGTCCCTTTAAAAGATGACGAGAGCCCTTCCCTCAGTATATAATGATCAAACAATTGCTCTGAACTGACGAACAGCAAGAAAAAAAAAATGCACCGCGGGGCAAAACCACTGACTTTGTTGACTGAGGTTACATACTACATAACCATTACTCTGACACTGATTAATTAACTAGCTAAACTTAAAGGCAATGTACTCCAGCCATTAAGCACATTGTTACCGCTTTGTTTGATCTTGTATGAAAATCAAAAGTGATATATGAAATGCATGTCTTACAAAGAGGCTATGGCCTATTATTGCCTTTTGATGTGTTATGGTGTGTTAGGAGAGGAGAGGAGGTACTCCTCTTTTGAGAAAGAAAAGAGAGAGGGGGTGTAATTACCTCAAATGATAGACGGAGAGAGAGAACATAATGCTTGTAAATTCACAATAAGAGCAGTGAAGATGGATACCTCTTTATAAAGCTCCTCATATTTAAGCACTGTGTTTATGTGTCATTATACAAGCGCCCAGGCTTTTTGTTCTCGACAAGGATTTAGGGGTAATTATGACGGCATTATTTTTTTGTTTGCTGGCAAATGCCACTTGAATGTGAAATGACTTGATACATGAAGATGTGATGGGTGAAAATGAGACAAGAGTGAATAAGCGACATGTCGAGGTGTCAAATGAGGCCACATGTAACAGTCACCAAGTGAGACAGAACATCACAACACCTTGCAGTGATGGATGTGACATTTCGTTTATACATTGGAACGACGCTTTTATGGGAAGTGGCTTAAAGTACATTCAAAGCACTTTTATTAATACAGTACATGTGCTGCCTGGGAATCGAACCCATGACCTTCGCGTTCCTACTGCAATGCTCTACCATTTAAGCTACTGGAGACAAAAAAAAGTATCCTTAATGTGTACTTGTTTAAATTATGGCCATTAGCAATTTAGTATTTTCTTAGTGGATATGGCTTTGTAAGAGTTCATTTAAAGTTCATATGTTTATATGGGTCTCAAGTTGCCATTTAAACATTTTTCGAGAAACATCCACAAATAAATGCTCCTTTTATCATCTGTACATCCTCTCTGCTAAAAAACATCCTAGAACTCAAAATATTCAACAATCCCCAACACATCAACAAATCTATCCTTCAGCTTTAGCTATACGTGTTCTCTCTCTCTCTCTAGAGTGCACTGCTTTAGATAAACAGCCTTTAATTTGTTCTTATACTCAGAGAACAAGCCGGCCTCGCAGTGTACATGCATCTTATCTGGGAATATTTTCACCCCAAAAGGATTGTGGGAAATGCCTCAATTGACTACCTCTTAACTGTTGTGTGCTGAAAACATTCAAGAACTCAATATAACTACAAAACACACTCAAGACTTATGGTGACTACGGGAAATATGCAAAACTGAATATTTTATATTGACTGGTTCACTTTTTATCAATCGGATATGTTCCTTATCCAGTCAAACATCTGTCAGAATGTGTAGACCGTAGAGCTGGTGCTAAAAAAAGCGATGAATTCAACAAGACAACATACACAAAACATTTTTAAAAAATGTGATCATGCATAATAAAATATGTATTATGTTATATGCAATAACCAATAAATTATGGAGGAATGAGAATGTCAAATGAATATAAA